TACCTTATTATCAAGTTTTAACTTAAAGTTCTCAAAAAAATTTACCAGCAGTTTGACTGTTTGATCTATGAAGTGCTTTAAATTCCAGACATCAAACCTTCAATGAACACAGAGAGTGATTCAATTCCTGCCAAACATTTTACTTGACACATTCTTTTTATTCCAAATGATTTATTTTTATTCCACCTTTGGGGATGAGGAAAAAAACCATTCTTTCCATTCTTTTTACCCCTTAATGCATTTCCACTTGCCACTTTGTTTTCTGACTTGATAATGACATGAAGCAATGTTAAAACATAATCAAATATTTTTATCAACAGTTTTATAAGTTTTTTAAAAGTTTCCAGCATGGAACTTTGCAATCAAATGACTTCAAGTTTCCTTTGAAAAAATGATGAGGGTCATGTTGTGTCAATTGTGTCATACTCTGTACTGTAAACATTAAACATATGGTTGGCTTACAACGGACTGAGTTGTATCAAACTTTAAGTTCCCTTGTGGTAATCAACTTGTAGGCAAAGTATATGGGTGAAGTGTATTATTTTCATGTAGTTTTCTTATACAACGTTACCCTGTAATATTTTTTAATCAATGGCTTTAATTTAAAGAAAGGAACATACACATAATGTGACAGCAAAAGATATTGTAATGAGCACGAGTCCTACCTAATTCCTATGGAGCTACTATGGTAAAAATCCTTATATATGCTCAGCTGTGCATTCATAACATGACATGTGCAGTTTCACTTCAGCTTAAAGTTCCTGTTAAGTTTAGCCACAAGGTTTCAAAACTTTCAAAATTTTTTTTCTGTTCCATCTCAATTAAGATAGACCTGTGGTAAATCTACCACACAGGTCTCCTAAATGCAAAAAATTTGTAAGTGTTGTGCTTATTGAATTTTAACTTAAAATTATTTACTTTTTGCTTCTGTGCAGAAAAGATTTAATCTTGAAATATTTTTTGATTGTTTTTGCCACATCATTTTCCTCATAGTTTTCAGGTAGAACACAGTTTCTGGTACACCCAACACAGTTTTAATGAACTTGTGTCTGTATGCTATGTTATAAAAGAATTGGTTCGTGCTTTTAACTGTACATATATCGAGTTATAGATACACTTGGGAAGTTTGGAAAGCACTTAAGAAGCTAGAGTTGTTCTTGACTGTGCCTCAAGGAACCCTACCACTTCTCTCATGCTCTCAAAACTTCCTGCGTACATCCATAACTTATTATATAATAAGCTCAGTTATGCACGTCTTCTGATTGGTTCTCGCTTATGACTGATTGGAGGACAGACATATAGATGACATCATCATTAAAAATTTTTTCAATTCTTTATTATATAAAACAAATAGATTCCAAGTTGCTGTGTGTCTGTTCAGTAATAGATCACAGAGGATGTCAAAATGTGGTAAGAACATCAGTGACACACTTGGCTGCACCTCATGTGCCACTTTTTTTGTTCTTACCACACTTTGATGTCATCTGTGATCTATTACTGAACAGACACATGGCAACTTGGAATCTTTTCATTAAATATACACAAACTAAGCATGAATCAGTTCTTTATTGACAAACTGATTGTGATCTAAGACATTGGAAAACCAAACAGCAAATTCATAAACCATATGCCACCTTTCACAAATAAACACTAGCTCAAACCCAAGTTTATATACAGTAATAATATAAATACGAGGTAGAAGAGAACAAATCTAAATCCATGTATCTCAAGTACCACTTAAGACATTGGTGAAGTACGAGTCATACAATCAAGTTATAAAGCTTTATAGCTCAATTGCATCTAGTAAGACTAACATACCAACAATAAGGTGTGTATGGTCAACATATCTCTCAAATACACCCAAAGGATAAATAGCTGTTTATACCCTGTAATTCAGATGAAAGTAAAGCCTCATACACAGAGAGATATCCGTGTTATACACTCTTGAGCACTATTAACTTTCAGCCTCAGTAGATGGATTATCACATCCAGAGTTTGGAAAATGACCTCCTTCAACCACATTTTATCCCAAATACGAACCACAAAGAAGATCCATAGCGTTTTAATGCCGCATGTTGAATCATTATGAGTTGTGTCCCTATTGGCAAAATTCAGTTATTCAATATGGCGGACGGTTACGGACCAGCGAAGCGTGGATGTCCCTTTCGTGACTTCGCCGAAAAAGAAATTGTAGAAAAGTTTTATCTACAGTACGGCTCCCCGTTATTGATTAGCTTAAAAAGTTAAAACAGTGTGATTTTCTTACTTGCTAGCTACTTCATCATGAATAAGCTTCAATGCGCTCTTTACGGCGGGAGTCATCTGTTTATCACCAAGCTTGCACGCGTTCGTCTGAAGATCATCCGAAGTCTTAAGTTTTTTACCATAGTAGGCCTTGACACCTTCTTTGACTTTCTCTGCAGCGTCAGTGCTCATTTTTCGCACAATAATTTCAAATGCAAACAACGGTATTCCAAACCCGTACTTTTAGGAAAATTCTAGACGCAAATTTTTTTACTAACTTTTCTCTCCAGATCCTTAGCGGTCAGGTATCACACCACGTACACCACGTGGCTTTCTTTTCATTATCTTTCATTTTAATTACGTAACTTCTACCTTAGGATAATGTAGAATAAATCAGACAAATGTCTGTAAAGCAGATAATTTTTTGCTCTACCATAAGATATATTTTATTGTCAAATAACCAGCGTATAAAAACTCAATCTGATTGGTGCAGGAGAGTCCTTAGACCGCCATAAAACTTTACATCATAACAATGTCAATAATCCATTATGGCGCAACACACGTTCGCAATATACATCACAAAAAGAGCGCAGAAAACAATACTTCTGTTTGAAAGACCACCTACAGTTATGGCGTATAGGAATAAGTGTGATACAAATTGACTGTCTTCATGAATCAGAGGATCATAAAATTTTGAATGTTTCCATATTGTGGGCTATGACGCATATTCTTGGTTTGTCCCGAGAATGACACGACTCATCTCATGTGCTATGATATATTAGGTGGAAGGGTTCCGGTCCCCGCGGATACTATGTACTTACTGAATGAGTGGGAGGTCTGGACGGGAAAATATTTGGCTCGCGACCCTGAAGTATGGACCAAGCGCAACGAGCTCTGTGAGTCATGAACGAGAGCCAAACATTTTCAGGTCCGGCCTTCCCACTCATTCAATAACCATTTTATCATGTGACTATTGACGAAGGTTTGAAAAATTCGAAAACTTTGTTCAACTTAAATAGGACGCGACTGACTGGCACGCGCAAGGAAACCATAATAAAGATTCTGCAACCTGCAAAAACTTTTCCTTAATTTTTTTTCGAGTTAGAACAAGAAAATCACAGTTTATTGAAAAAAGTTAAATTATTATCTCGATTCTGTTTATCACTCATTTTTTGTATCAACAGCAAACAACATTTCTTTCTTTCTTCATTTTTTTTTTCGTTAACAAAACCGCACAAATGCCCTAGGGCCGGACGGCTTTTTCCGGAACGGCTCACGTCTATACACGTCAGCTTTTACTGTGGTTTTCTAAGGGATTCCGCAAGTGGGTCCGGATGTGTCATATGATAATCTACGTTTTGTTTCTTTTTTTGCATGGTAAAACCCCTGTGTTCCAACGCAAACATCTTTTCTATAATTGGTAGCCCCTGAGTTTGGACGGTTTCCGAGTTTGGGCGGGAGCTCAATTACAAATCTCTGTGAATATAATATCATGGACGCCCTGAACTGTTTAGCAATTCCATGAAAAGGCCCTTTTTAGTCAGTGCAACTCGAGGGCTCATGACAATGGTAAATGAACTGAGTAAAGCGCCATTTAGTTGGAAATCATATGCGCGATTTTAAAATCGTGAGGGCACGCAGAGCGAGTTCAATTTGAAATTTCAAGTATCATTTCAAGCCAAAGTTTCTCGTAAGGTTGAACCGCCCAAAAACTGGATTTTAGTTTGTAAAATGTTTTATTTTTGATCTAGAACTGGACAGGTTTGTTAAAAAAGCACAACCGGAAAAAGAAAAAGAAAAGTTTTGGGGCAAAAATCTAAATTCCCCACACAATGTTTACTTTGTCTTTCATTTTCCTGCAATTTGATTCGTTTTGAGCTCGGTAAAGAAATAGAGAAAGATGTTTTTCGGGACAAAGAAAAAATTCTGACTCACCACGAGGAATCGAACCTCAGACTTTCGGAATCCGCGCTCCGATGCTCTACCGCGCGGGGACTCAGAATCTTTTCCTTTGTTCCACGCTCGTGACAAGACGAAAAGCATCTTTCTCTATTTCTTTACCGAGCTAAAAACTTAACATCTCTCTTATTCTATTTACAAACATGACGCTATTGACATTGCTGATCTTAGCAGCATGGAGGACGCGTATCATTAGATCTTGCTCACCATAGTCTCTGTGGCTCAGTGGTAGAGCATCGTAGCGCGAAATCCGAAGGTCTGAGTTCGATTCCTCATTGGGATTCAGAATTTTTTCTTTGTTCCACGCTCGAGACGACAAACATCTTTCTCTGATTAATTGTTGTTTTGCTTCAGTGTCGCTTTCTCATTGGCAGACAAAAACAGTGCGATTCCTTAAGGAATCGCACTGCTGAGAGCCAATCAGATTGCAAGGATCACCAGTGATTTCAAAATGGATGGAAGAAAAGTCAAAATTTGCAAGTTAACAAAGGATTTAAAATCATGAAACCATCATCTTCAGTCTATTTAGGTGGATTTCAACGAGAAAGAAATCAAGGTAACGTCAGACTTCTTCATAAAAATCATGGTAGCGCCAACTTTAGAGCTGTTAAATAGAACTCAAGTAAAGCTCTGATAGGGTCCTTTAGGGGCTTAAAGTACATTGTTGCATTTAGTTTTTGAGGTCCCATTTCCACTGCGTTAGAAAACGTTCGCATAAATAACAGACTTTGCCAGTTTGTTATTTTCAATAAAGTTAAGAAACAAACAGTATTCAATGTTCCGCTTCATTTATTTTATATTTCTGTACAAAATCCTGATAATTCTATCTTAATTGATTCAATGTCTTGCTTCGTTGAAAACATTAACTTAATTTTTTTTCAATTTTTTTAAACAATTCAATTAACATTTACAAACTTATAAATAAATGAATATCTCCTATTTTTTATCAATAAAAAAATGAGAGGTATCTTACTACAACCCAAAGTCTTTGGAATTCGCCAAACATATCTCGCCATTTTTTCGGATAAAACTTGGAATAAAAAAGTAATAAGTCTTACTTGTTCGCTTGCACTGTTGCTACCAGGTTACAGTCTGACGAGAGAGTCTAGTAGACATAAACTACTATTAAATATAAACTAGTGGGCAAGGGAGAAATTACAAGTGCTGTTGCAATTAATTTTAAACTCAATACAAATTTCTATAAAAATATAAACTCAATACTTCAAGATCAAATTCTTCCTCCAATTTTCAATCTATGAAACTAAATAACTCGAGGTCGAAGTTACGATCAGAGCGAAGTAAGTAGAGTGTTCATGGGAAGGAATCCTGATCTTTTCTGTACAATCAGGAGCAGCCCAGTCCAACCATTTCTATAAAGCATATACCTAAAGCAGTTTACATCGCGCTCGAGTTTAAGATTCCAAGTAAATTAAGCATAAGTTGTTACCTCGACAGAATTGGGAGAAAATCCCTAACTGAAGGTTCTCGATACGTAGTTTCACGATTGCTCAACAATCTTTTCAAACGCACTTATTCAAAGTTCGAGTTAAGTCGTGCCATGAAACACTTTAAATTGGAAATTTGTTTCCTAAAAAGTCCTTGCAAGGTAGCAGGCAAAGTAATTCACATCTACATTTGAACCTTTGTTCTCGGATTATACGCACGTTGAGGCACATCGCTTGGTGGTCCTAATTCGTGTAGCCTTCGGTGCCGGGGCACTCGTTGTCTGTTCCGTGTGGGTCCCTAACACACTCGCGAAACACAGACCACTTTGGCCAATAGGAGTTAAGCCATCCTCAGTCCCAGGTAACCTCATAAGAACGGTAAGCACGGACGCTTTGCCATTTTCACAGGTTTCCACAGCAACAGGTCCAGGGGTGGACTGAAGTATCGCATATAAGAGAAGAGTGGTTTGAGCATGATTATATTCCGGCTAACTTTATTAATGTCAGACAGTTCTTCTGAACATGACATAAAAATCTCATTACCACTGAATTACACGCAACAACTAGGCAGAAAGATGTGCTTACTATTTCATATACACGAGAAAAAAGAAATTCAGTCTTTTTAAAGAGTTTGGGTAAGTTTTATTCGCTTAAACCCAAATTCAATCATTAATTTGCACGCCAGAAATTTCAATTCGGATGGTTCACACGAATGGTAAGTACCGTACATAAGATGTTCTGTTCAACTTGAACGACACAGTTATGTAAAGAAATAAACAGCAAAGGCAGGAGCTGTCTACGTACAAATTGCCCCAAAACCTGCCATTGCCGTACCACAGGACAAGAGAAAGGTCCGAGCTAATAATGAGTCTAATAATGTCATGGCAGTTCAATTGCTTGTCTCATGTCATGGTTAAAATGGACTTCTATCAATATATTCCGAGTTAATGTTCCTTTTAATAATCATCTTCAAAAGTGAAGGAAACCTACCCTTTACAAAAAAGAAAACGCTGAAAATTTCATCATAAAAGGAAAAGGGGCAGCATGGCCTTAGTGGGTAAGATAAGATGGATTGAGAAAGATATCTTCAACACTCTACGTGAAATGGCCCATTTGAAGCCCATTTACAGTGTGAAGAACCAACCTTATTATGAGCATGAAGGAAAACTGACACTTTAGCAAATGGACGGCTGGCCATCTTTTGTCTTTCCTCTCGTCGTTGCTGAAACAAGAAAAGAAAACCGTTCATTGGTGACTGACATGCCGCCAATAGTATTAATGACAGAAATTCAACTGCTGAAAACCCAAGGTTCTTACCCTGTTCAGGATGTAAGAGATGTAGCGATTCCTCACTTTCCACACGATTCCGGCCATGAGAAGCAACGACAGGAAACAGCTACGGAAAAGGATCACCATGAGTTATCACTACAATTCTGAAGTAAACAATTCAATAGACATCTAGACATGGAGTCTTCATTTGACCTCTCACTCCTAGGATCTTATTAGTAAAATTCTCCTTATAGTCTTTCATACAATTCTTACGATGTTAGTTTGGCGAATTTGGTAATGGATCGACTACTAATCCCCTGATGGATATTTTTCTTTCTTCTCATCACTTGTCTTCTTGATATTGTATTGATATTGCAAGGAGAAATTCTGTTTTGGTCACTCATGGGAGTTCGAGGTTTAAGACGGGGATAAACTCTCTAACGAACAACCCTTTTAAAACATGCGATTAAGATTTCAAACTGGTGAGAAAAGGAAACACAGAGTGTATTTAAAAATATAATCCAGTGATGACTACGTCAAAATATGAATGGACAATGGTGATAGCAACGGGTAGGTCTTCGGCAATTATTTCCCAGCTCACAATCTCAATTATGCACTTTGGAGGAAATTTAAATTTAGTGTCCAAGAAAGCCGGAATTGCAGTGGTTTTGAATTTTCTGTTCTCTGTGATTGTTCTAAGTCCATACGCTACAACCTACAACAATAAGATGCAAAACTAAATCTAAGGGCGACTTAGTCACGCAAATCTCCCGTATCTGACACAGTTTACTAATATTTCCTTTAAGCTTTCATTATATTCATTTGACCAGTTTTCATTTGTTTTGATTCCACGTTGTAATAACGAACGACTTTCGATCAAAAGGCACCCCAGCGCAACACTCCTAGGTAGAGAGTTGTAATCCAAGGGTAAAAGGTATAGGCCTTGTGACACGATATAGCGAAGAAAGAAAGCACCCAACCAAAATAACTTGATAGCCGAACCATCACCCTGCAGGTTGTGAAAGGCCCTCCTTGAAATAGAGGAGGGAAGTTGAGCTGTGATAGTCCGAGATTAGAACAACTATTTCCTGGTAAGTAAGCAAACACAAACACGGTGAAGCTTACCCGAAAAACGTCAGAAAGAACTCCAGGAGATCAATGGTTTCCGCCAGATTTTCGATAGTAATCTGTAACAGTGAAAATAGTGGGTAACAGAAAATAACCTTTACGTAGTCTTGCAATCAATAAGAGTTTTCTGGGTTTTCGAAAATGGCCATAGAACAGAAAAAATAGGAACGTATCGATAGCAGCACTTAAAACTGATTTTTATAAAACACTGCAACAAGGTGAGTATTCTAAGTGACTCTGTCGCTCCAGGGTTTCTTCCATACCGTCCTACACCGGAAAACTAAGTTTACTTGATACTCTCCCAAATAGACTAGTTCAGTAATTCAGCGTTATCCCAAATGGTCGAGAGTTGACGCCAAAGGGATAGTGGACAGTGGACAGTGGATATAATTGTTGTGTTTAAACTTACACGAAGAAAGGCTCCTTCATCACCAGACTCGATGTCATATATGTAACCTCTGATAGTAATCCCATCAGAACCGAACTCATACTCATTATAGCGAAACTCAGTCGTGAATGGAACCTTCTCATGACCGTATTTAATTTCCTCTTCATTATCTAAATAAAAAAAGGCAAATGTAACATAAAATACAGTTCGGAAACGAAAATTAATTGCATAGCTGCCAGAGCTTAACCTGCTCTCCGTGAAGCAAAAAGAACTATTTTTACTCCCCCCGGTTAGGATGCTTGTCCAACTCCTATTCCACCCCATCCCTCCCTTCCCCCTCGCAGTCCTCGTTATGTTTCCCGTGACACTCGCAGTCCTCCTTAGGTTTCCCGTGACCGTTTGCTGGTACAGATTCATGCTCCGTACCCATCAATTCATACCCGTGTATAAATAAAGTTAACATTCATTCCTCTATTCACTCCTGTTTGGACAGAAGCCCTACGAGAGCCCAAGAATCAGGCCTGAATTTGAGGGTCATAAAAACAACTAGGACACCGCTTTTAGCCATTTCCGACTTAAAAAGCCATTTATGAAAAAAACAAAACAAAACAAAACAAAAAACAGCCAAAGCTAACTGACAACAGCTGTGTAAGCCTCTACACAAAGCGGGTTCGTACTTACTATCGCCCATGGTTATGTTCACCCTCGCCTTAGATCCTTTGTTGCCACCTTTCCACTTAATCTCCACAGAAACACTACGTTTTTCCTGAAAAATAAATTTAACGCACGGTCGATATCTAAAAATTTAACTTTGACTGGGTCCTTTAACAGCTATAAAATCACAAACGCCTGTCTAAAAAAAGCCAGTACCAACTAGGGATCAATATACTTTCATAGCTGTACTTGCTTATTGATTTTTTTTCTTCGATTGGGGGGTCGAGTGTTTGGATAAACGAAAGATTGGAACGAGAAAGGGCGTGGTACCCTTTTCGTTCAGATCAGTGGAATCACCGTTGGGCAGGCCACTGGTTACATGTCATACAGGTGATGAGAATTGCTTACTTACACCTTAGATTAACCTATCTCCTACCAATCAGGAAAGAAGAGCTGCACTGAAAACAGAAAAGCTGACGTATTCTCAATAAAACGCATTTGACTTAGTAGGGCCACGCATGCGTCTTTGAGTCAACACTCTAGCGAAGAATACGATTCAAAGCGAGGTTTCCATACCACCACTACGATACCGTTGATCACAAAAGAGTGGTTAAGGGATCATAGAGCCACTATATAAACTATATATTACCTCTTTGAGTGTATACTCAAAATTGAAAGTCTTGAATCCTGTTACATTAAAATCTTTCTTAGATCCAAGAAAATTATCTAGAAATAAAGAAAAAAATTATTTTTTTTCAGCATTTGTTTATTGCGAAGTTAAAAGAACTGAAAGTTGGCGGACCTGTTATCTCCAACCACTGCATCACTGCTACTTTCTAGGATACTCACACCACTGATAACATTGCAACCCTTCTTTCTCATGATCTAACCCTTAATATCTCGTAACGATAAAGAAAAAAAATACGGGTATATCATGATTTTAAATACCACGTCACTCCCATTCACGGCTTTGTTTTAACTCTGTTACACATTTGCAGTGTATTTTCCCTGTACTTCTTGACGGTATTATATCTTAGTGACAAATTCGTCTCGCCATAACAAAATGAGAACATAACTCGTCACATCACCCCAATGATATTAGAAATTATCCAATAATTGAAATAACAGAATAAACCAAAGCGAACAAGCAGTCTGCAAAAGGGCAGGTAAAACCCACCAGAAGGGTTGGCCTGATTGCCTCACAATTGTGCATTACACTCTTACTGAAGATAGCGATTAAACTTTATTTAATTTTAGTTACGATATTCCTCGCAGCCATCAGAGGATAGATTAGAAAAGTAAATACTAAAATTTCAAGCCAACACAATTTTAATAATCTGAGATTGTTCATATTTAGAATACCCCTAACATATTGTAGGCCCCAACACGTACATTTGTCCTTTATCGTTTCCTAACATTAGTTTTCTTCAAAGAAATGAAACTATATGAGTTACAACATGAATCAGTGGCACTAAAGTTGATTCTGATGTGAATTTCCTCTGCACCTATACATTGAATGGTTTTAATTCCCACCCCTCCCTCTTCCCTTACCCCCCCCCCCAACTGTAGAAGGGTTGATATACTTTATTACAGACGCTTAACAAAGGGAACACTCTCTGTGATCAACCGACAACTTTCCTGGATACAAAACAGCCAAAAAAATCAGTTCAACGTACAGTAACAGAAGTCACCTCCACGATTATAACCAGGCACACACCTGCGGAGATGATGAAGAAAGTCATGAACCTGTATGATAGTATGGTGTACTAGTCACTCACTTGGACAAAAGTTAATGCGACAAAAATCAAAGGTAATACATGTACCCTACCTCAAGCGAAAAAGGATACGCAAAGCAAAGTCAATTTTGATTTTAGTTTGGATTTGATTAGCTAAAAGGATAACGCCAGTACACTAGACAGATCACACACCATGTCGTGAAGTAAAGCCAAAACAGTCCCTATTTACTTTCCATTCATAATCATTGTACGTAGACTGCATCATAAAATGTATTTAGGTTATTAAGGGTGCCTACTATGAGTCAGCACTAGCTGGCCAGTTCGATCCACCGTGACAAAGAATTGCGGTGTTGATCACTACTATCCCGCCAGATAAGTAAATTTCTAGACGAAACTCGCGATTCTGATGGACTTTTTAAGATTTATTAGGTGAAAGACTCGGAAATATTTTCTAAAGGGATAGACTCAATCACCTAAATACATCACTTAGAAGCTGTAATACTGAACTAAAGGGAAAACAGACAAGTGTGAGTCACAAACATCATTAGTAAGTGACACACGTCCTGCATACTGCTCGAACCAGTGACGCTGAAAGAGTGAAAGAGTTCTAAGTGAAGAAATGGACTCAAGAAGAATATTAAAAAAACAAGCTCGATTGGCGAAAAAAGGGAGTATTTAAGTCAATATTTTTTACGGCGAAACCTGACTTAGGAAAAGAGTCATCTAACGAGTCAAGCAGTCAATGTGGAGTTAAAAAAAGGAAAAAAGATATCACTCTGACCCCTTATTAGCAGATTTAAAACAACAATAACACACAGCGGATGATTGCGAACACCTACCTATCACACCTATTACCAGTGGCGCCGAGGGCAAGACATCGACATTTGCCTTCAGAATCACACAACTTAGTTTGGGAAGAACATCTGCAATCTGAAAGCAAGCGGAAAAAAACGCAATCTCTTAAAAATCAATTAGCCATTATCAAAGTCACCATGTGTAAGGGAAAACGCCCACATATGATGCTGTCATTGGTTTGTTTTCATTTGGTCTTTACATTACATCGTCATTAAGGTATTTGGGAAAAAATGAAAAATCATAACAAGTTTCCAAACATGGTATTTATAATGAAAAGAAGTATATTAAAGTGATAAGTCAATAGAACCAATAACTCTGTGCTACTAAGTGATATGAATTAGAGCAAAAGAACTTCAAACGGTTTTATACGTACAGGAGCGGAACTTATAAGTTGCAAGCAGTCCTACAGAGAGGAATAGTGTCAGTGTTAGCTATGTGGCACTTTCTCTGTGCTTCAAAGAACAAATAAATTAATTCAACTTACAACTAAGTGATACTACAGATTAAAAAGTCTCATTCCTAACCTGCACATTTCCCTCCATTCCTAGGGTCTCCATAATACCCATCAGCACATCGTTCGCAGTGGGCACCTGTGCCAAAAAAATACAGTAAAAAAGAATGAAAATTTCAGGCGGTCTCTTGACATAATGATATCATATTCTCCAATCTGTTCTTCATACATTTCCTACGGTGCTGACAAGGAGAATTTGTCAACCAATCAAGAGCATCTTAAGTTGGTGATCATTTCCTTTGTTCCCGTTACCTTAACGTGTGATTCAGGGGTGATTTTGTAAGGAGAAATTAGATGATAGTTACTCCTAGGGGCTAAAGGCTTAAAGATGCTGTTGGTGCGGTCATTGTTGGCGGTGCTTCGTCTGCCAGTATTCTATATTGTTTCCTCAAAATTTCATCTCACCAGCAGTATTATCCTCGCAGTTTTCACACCGGTTTCCCTCAACGCACTTGCTATGGCCATTGCACTGACAAGCTGCATACCAAAAATAAGTTCATCATATAATGAGATACGTGTACAACGGTCTTCAAAAAGGACAAGTACGTGTCTCGAGCAAATAAAAAATGTTGCATCTAATGAGGAGAATAACGTGACAACCAGAGTTAACTGTGGCGTTACGGGTAGTATTTGTGTCACACCTTATCTGTAAGATGACGGCATTGTACCAAAGACGGTTTTTACTCAAAGTCATTATGGAAAGAATAAGATCAAATAAGCCTCGCGTGAAATGATTGCGATATTGTTGAACATTTTAGCTAAATATGACGCTGAACTGAACTGCTGCCCTCAAAGAGGAAAATTTATTGACAACTAAGGCTCATTTCTTACAGCCTCAAAATGGCTACAGTCACCATATCAGTGATTATCAAAGCCAAATAACTTCTATATTATATTTCTGTTACCTGGACAGTTTATAAAATTCCAGCGTGACTTCGAACAGTCGGCATAAGAGTCTCCACTTCCCAGAAAGGGTTCATTCTTGCCCCCAGGCATGCACCTCCCCGAACCAGTCCCAGACCCATCATCGCACCAACCACACCCAGGGAGCATTGAACAGTCACGGCAAGTTTTCACATTCGCACACTGTAAATCTGTCATTATAAGACAGCGAGTCATGTCAACAAAAACCAAAACAAAGTAAGTATTCTAAAGCGTAACTCATTCTCCCCTCTTCTTCACCTTACACAGGCACGGGCGCTCGAAAATGATTATCAAAATTACCACATTTTAACGGACCCGTGGGTAGCCTAAACTCATCTAAGCGGGCCATGTTGTAACAAAGACACAACACAAAATACATCAAAAGCAAGTAAAAAGCTAACCAAAGACGAAATACACAACAAAACATCAAAACACACAAAGCTTTCCAAAAGATGAATAAATAAACAAACGAATAGGTACTTGTGAGTATGTAGGTACAGTACGCTCTGCTATGCGCCAATTCTATCATCTGTTGTCGAATTTTCCACTTCTTGTCATTTCCTCAATTATAAATCGCACTGACTTCAACTTTTAAGAGCGCACAGTTTCAGCCTTGTACTTCCTTGCTGATAGAATGCAACTTTTCTTAGTCTTGGTGGCCATTCCTGTAAAGGGTCTTTTTTTTTTTGCAAACAAAATTTTTTTTTTAAAGTCTTAACTTTTCCGTCAACATTTCAGCCAGATATCAAGGGAAGACTTCTTGTAAAAAAAAATTATTCAGTGCAGAGCTCCCCTTTGAACTCGGGAACCTTGCATGGAATATAACACTCTCGTGCTCTAAATACTTTGATGGAGTGGACAGACACACGTACACAAAAAAACCTATTGTGCAGGGCTGCGTGAATCTCACCTGAACATGCACCAGTGCCACGCTCAAGTATCTGCATGCACTGCTGATATGGGAACGTGACACGAAGGGTGACTTTTGACACACACTGGTTTAGAGTTTCGCACCACAGGCAGCTGTCATCGGAATCTCCTCTAAGGCAGTCTGCACAAGTGTGCCGCAAATGACACTGGTCGCTGCTAGGGTTACGGGACGTACATGAATCTGCGTGGTAAAAATATCTGTTTAACGTACTGTGAATGGCCAGTCTGCTGTTGACAACTTCCTTTACGATTGTACGACATCTACAAATAGACATTTAATGTACAGTGCTAGAAGTGCCTGCCTCTCTCATAGTCGACTCAAGAGCAGCATGACTGTTTGTTGTCGTTATCAGAGTGAAGTTGTGGGAAACAAACGAGTTGATCGCATTGGAAGAGTTACACTATAATGTTTTTATACGCACCTGAAGAAACAAGCGGTTTTAAAAGAACACTGGGGGTAGGGAATGCTTCAAAGCAGTTGAGTGAAGATCCCGGTGACATACAATCTCCTGTCAACACAAATCAGCAAACACACACATATCATCATTAATATCATGGCCAGCAATACCACTGTATCGTGTGTCGTGTATAGCAAGCTCTCCTAATAGAAATAAAGAGGGAGAGTGGGCGGGGGGGGGAGGGAGGGGGGGAGGGGAGAAAGGAAAAGGGATGAAGAGCTTTAACATAAATCCCTTACTTTCGGATATCTGCGCTAGGAAGTGCCCCTCCATCACTTGATCAATCAACGTATCATCAGACTTGGCATGTATGAACAACCACCACTGATCACGTATCGTTACCATAATTATTAAAAGTCCAAAAAGCTTCCGTCATCACTGATTTAATGTTGCCACACTCAGAGCAGTTTTCAAGTGTGTTGAAATTTATCCTGGATAAACCAAACTTACCTTGGGAATATTGAAGGAAAGAGTTAAACATAAGTCCTGCAAATCCACCAAAGGCATACATGATGCTACAAAAACAAAAAGAACAGTTTCACTCGCGCAACTGCAGACAAATCATACGAATATCTTGAAGCCATAAACAAGTCAAAAGAAACTTTTCACCTGTCAACAACCACAGATGAGTGTCCATAACGAGACGCAGTCTTTGGTACAGTAGTATTGATTGGAAATTTCCATTTCATTTCATCTGAAAATAATGTATTGCCTGATCAGACGAGTTCAAAGTTTTTTCAAAAGCTACGTGTAGATTTAAGCAGTATAATTGTCTGTGCCTTTGCCACTGTACCACGAAAGATAAGACGATCATAATCATCCGATTTCTTGACTATACTCCCTCTAATAATCGATACAATAATTGATATTTTTTATAGGAATGAAGCCGCTACAATCATAACATTACTTTTAGTGAGAAGTGAAAAAAAAAAAAACAAAAATCTATCAAAACGAAACGCAATGGTTCTCACAATGTGTTGTGAGCAGCTAAATCCATTGGGATTTTATCAAAAGAAAACTTTCCATGATGACACAAACTCGAAAACAAACTTTTGCTTTAAGTCTTAGCAAAATTAGAAAGAAAAATGGCACTCAAAATTGAAACATACAAGCTGGATACACACTGAAATACCACTGGAAAAATCGAGAAAGCCAAGGAGGACACTCACTAATGTCGAACACCATCAGGTGGCGCGATACCAATTCCTTCTCTCCTCTGCCACCAAAAATGATCATTGCGCTATCAATAATGACTGCTGAATGAAGAAACCTTGGTATACCAATATTACGCAGCTGGTACCATTTTCCAGCCTTGGACTCATAGTAGAACGTTTCACTGGATGCTCTGTAGCAGGAGCTGTTAAGCATTCTGTAACCACCATGTACATAAATACGTCCTGTACCTGGGTGAAGCACACTGCTGTGACCATAGGTGGGTCTGACGATAGATGAGTCTACTTTACTTGATCTCCACACTCTGTCCACTGATAAAAATGATCAAAAGTTTACTTCCTTAGAGTAAGTTAAAAATAACAACCAAGCTAAGGCATAGAAGGTCCAGGCTCTTAAATAGTGGTTGACTGTGATAACCAAACAAAAAAAGTGATGAAGTCCGCCTTGAAGGTGACTGATGAGAAGAAAGCAGTCTTTCACTCCCCTATTCCCCATTTTCACCTTGCTTTGGTGGTGCTTGCCTACCTTAAGGCCGACCAACCTAAGGTGTGAAACAAGCTTGAGAAGGTGGGAGCTAGGGTACTACTAAGTAAGTCTGGTTGTGCTTATTTAAATCAGACAAACCCTTTCCCCTCTCCCTCCCTCCATCTCCCTAACATATATTAGTTTCCCTGAACACTTTTACTGGAACCACATGTATTGATTGGTGAAGCACCCTTCCTCAAACTCAGAGTCCTTAGTCTGAAATTATCGCTAAAGAAATGAAGAAAACTAGATGTGCCATTCACTCACCAAGCCCAAATACCTGGATCAAGTTTGAAACCCCTTGTTCAGGATTATATCCAAACAAAACAATCATCTCATTTTCAACAACAGTGGCTGTATGTCCTGATACACCCACTGGTTTATAAACTGAACTTCTTAACAGTGTCCACTGCCTTGATGTAGTGTTTAATATCCAGGTTTCATTAGAAACAGCTCCTTTCTTGCAAGTTCCACCAAACAAGATGAGGTGATTCTGAAACCGGAAATGAAGGACAAATTGGATATTTTACCACATTTGGTAGTAAGGTCACGATCTGATTTAACCAGTTTGCCATTGTTGTCAGTCAATCAAATGCATTGATATCATGAAGGCCTGGTCAAATGTATATAACATTCAAATGCAACATGTTGCACCTGTTTGGCCACCCTATAGCTACATGTTACAACATGCTATAAGATGTTCAATGGTGTTGGATTAAGTTTAGAAATGGTCGAATTTCTATTGCATTAAAATTTTGTGTGCATTTGAACAGGCCTTTATAGTCAGCAGTTCTTGAAGTGAGTTCCACACTGGTAAATATTAGCTTGGTCATTCCTTTATTAAATGTAGAAGAGACACAACTACGACATGCATTTTTGCAAAGGAGGAAGGATTATTCTGATTCTTACATCATATGCCACTAATGAATGCCCATATCTTGCTGATGGTCGTTGATGTTTTTCAGTTGAAGCTTGAATAATTTCCCATCTATTCTCTCTTATATTGTATCTAAAGAAGACCAAAGAATTTTAAAACATGTCAATCCATACCTACTAATAGCCTAAGTTTTAACGATTTTTCAATGCAAGCCTGTTGGCTATATCCAATCTCATATCCAACAAGTGCAAAAAATTTATTTGTCACATCTGCAGAACAATTTCTCAGGGATAACCTGAAAAAAGGTTAGGTCATAAATTACTGTCCTAATCCTATCAAGTGACACTCTTGAGAGATGAACCCAAAATAATATGAAAAGAAAAGTTATGTGAATGATAATTTCATTCCCTATTGCAAGCTTGTATATAAGAGCTGGAAGCTGGTAAAGTTCATCAGCTTGTCTGCAAGGTTTTGTTGGCCATTTTCATTACTTCAAGAGTCACGATATGGTGAGATGATGTTTATCAGGTCTAACTTTAGGCTCATAAAAGTATAAATTTGCAGTGCCTATCTTGTCTAAAACATCAAAAAGATCGCTGACTCAAGGACAGTGTAGAAACATTATGTTCATGACTGTCTTTTTTCAACAAATCATACTGCTGTGCAGGAAAGTACATTGTACATACAATATAATTTGTTGTCCCACACATTGGATTTTGAGACAAAAATTTCACAGCATAATTGCAGCTTAAATTGTCTCTCTAATGTCAAGTTACAAGCCCCAAAATGCCAGGAAATACGTTTTTCAGCCTTCAATTCAAAAACAAAATCCAGGGAGTGCACCCCAACCCCTAGAAACAATGGGCTTAAGCCCCTCACATGGGTCCTCTGGACCCACAATCATCTACTTTTCAGAAAACTTTAAATTTGGCTTCTTAATACCTCAAAGAAAAACCTGTTACTGATCTGTAATACAATTAAAGAAATAAAAAAATACACCACTTGAATATTGGCCTAGATAGTACCTTGCTAATACATCCAGGGGTCCTTTTGATAAAGAAAATCCACCAAAAACCCATATGTAATTTCCAACTACAGCCATAGCATGAGAAGAAACACCATCTAAAGCATCTTAAATTAAGAGAAGTTTAAAACTGAATATCAATGAATGAAGACCACACAGGAATGTTCATGCACCAACAGACTCTAGTAAGCACTACACACTCTGCACAATGTATGTGCTTGCTACATTTTCAGTAATTTAAAAAAGAAGAATAATTGTTTGCCCAAAGCAGAACTTAAACACAACATATTCATGAAAATTTAATACAACCAAACAAGTACTATAAAATTCCACTTTCATGAACCCCCATTGAGGGGGTAAAGTTTCTGATAAACCTATCTCCTCCCCATGACCTATTCTTCAGTTTCTTTGCATACACATGAAGTTTTGCAACAAATTTGTACCTGCCCCGAACTCAATCAATAATTATTGCACAATTTCCTTTGAAAACAGTTATGCTATAATTGTCACAATTTCATAGATGTTTATAACCAACATTACCCACTAAGGTATAGATGGAAAATTCTAAAACAGGTTTTCTTTTGACAACAATTCCATCGCATGATCTCTAGTACATTGTTCCCAGCTTTTACAAATTAAAGCTGAACAATGGTTTAGAGGGAAAAAAACAACCATCATTTTGGCAATAGACACCCCTTTTCCATAGACCTCTAATTTAAAAGCATTAGAGACTTATTAGCTCCCATGAGTCAGAGAGTCTAAGGCATGACAATTTACCTTGGTTATTTGCCACGGGTGAGCTCCAAAAGTTCCTATTATCAGTGATATTACATGATTCTCCTGCAACATCAAACATTTATCACTCAAAGGTTCCCACAGGATTAACAGGAAATACATTTAACTTCATCCACCTTCATTATGTTTGAACACAAGTCACAAGAACTGGTTCATGCAAATTAGGACAAAACTTTGTGGCAAACTTTCCTCAGACATGAAAATAAAGAAATACACTGTAAGCCAACAAAATCTTCTTTTTTTTTTAGTTTCGCCTGCTCTATTTGTTTTTGTTTTCTTTAAAAAAAAGCTCCTCCCAGAAAGGCTTTTAGATGGTAGTGCTGGGCTTTAAAAAAAATGATTAAAAATATAAATTTTTTAATAACAATTTTTCTTAGTGGTTTGCATCCAAACACAAAGAACATGAACCAATCTAAACACAATAAAACTTGTCAAACTAGGTGAAAATTAAAGGATTTGAAGAATCAGCTTGGCTGATTTGACAATTTTGATGAATTTTTACCATTTTTGTTACTGCCTGCATTTCTGAACATATCTTGTATGGTTTAGAATAATTAATTACTTTTCATTTTGAGCTCCAAAAGGTCTATTTCAATCAGGAAGGAATGGAAAACAAAAGTTGAAAGGATTTAAACCTCCCAGCTAAACTTGAAGGGAACTTGCAGCTGAAGTAAAGTGATATGTTATGATTATAATTGTTATATTTGCATTTATTTATCAATTTATACTAATACAAATAACTGTTACTAATGATCAATATGCTTCAAGCATATAGCAAGAGTTAGCACTATAACACTTCTAAGGGTCTATATACTGGTAAGTGAGGATAAGAGGGCATAATTTCAGAATTTTCACAAACCTGAATATCCACTGGCACAGTTACACTTCCTGGTCTTGGCATCACATGAGCCATTATTACATACAACTGGACATGTTGGTAAGCTGCAGTTTCTGGACGTCCACCCAGCACTACAATTACAAATCCCTTTTGAACATAGACCATGCCTGCCACACTCTATGGGGCACTTCTCCTCAAAACTACAACATTGAAAGAGGTGAAATAAGAAGAAGCAATGGCTTATAAGTTCCAAAGCACTATCTGTTATAACCAGTACTGGCAATAGTTTTCTTCATTCGTTTTGGAAGGACACATTCTTAATTTGAATGAAAATCAATAAGTATAATACAATAGCATGATAAATTAGCAAAGTAATTGGTATTATAATTAGGAAATAAGTTTCAATGGGGAACATTGAAAACTGCACTTAATTTAACTTTGATAAAATGTACATTCTACAGTTGAAAAGCAAATCAACGATTTTGTTATTGTGGTGTATCTAAATATTTAAAGAAGAAATTAAGTGCCAAGTCAATTTCCTTTTTAACTTGTGGTGTGCAAAGTGTAGAAACGAACTTTATGCCTTACCTGTACTTAATGACAAAGCAACAATCATCTATTTTGTCATTTCTTCTGCTGAGAACAATAAGTGCAGATCCAGATGTTGCTTGAAGAAGTGGACTAGGCTTTTCTCTGGTCCTTGCTTTGATAAGGTTACTGAAAATAATTCAAAAGCTACATGTTAATTTGTATGCTTCCCATTTGAAAACAGGGAGCTTGCTACTTGAACAAAGTTTAGCCATTCTTCAATGAAACTTGGTTCTAAACTATCTTTTAAATTTAGCCAAACCTTTTATCTGAACATTTGTTTTTGGGAACAGTGTCAATAAGGCTAAAAACTAACAGACATTAATTTAATCAATTCAACCCTCTTAAAGAGCATACCTGAGGCCCACTGCTTGCATAAAACCATGGTTTGGGTTAGACTTTGTGTAAATAATCTGCCTATATATATTCAATGACCCAGATTTCACTTACTTGCTGTAAGTCCCAAATGAAAATACATGTAACCAAGATGAGTCCATGATAAGGCTTCCCGCTGACTCACCCAAAAGGATTATCAAACAGATGAGCACTTACAACAAAAGTCAAACAACTAGGACCCTTGAAATATTTCACAAATGTTTGTGTGTTTCAGAGGAAAAGCCAAACAAGCATGTAAGAACACTAAACTGCAAACAGCATCTATCAATTTGCCATCTCAAGATTTGTTTGCCTGGCTTGAACTTTACTGTGAGTGGTGAGTTCCCAATTAACCAGTCAGAATCAAATAAAAAGTGTTCAGAACTATCTGAGTTTCACAAGTAACTGGGTTAGTATCACAGCTTGGTGCCCACACAATAAAATTTTATCAGTGATTCAAACCACACTTGTTACTATGACTTTATGTGCTGATCAATTTGAAGCTTCAACAATCCCCCTTCCCCTCAGACAACCAACACGCATTTGACCATCATCTGTGCCCAGCAGGTGGAGATTTTGAAACTTGCCTGGTTTGGGTGGGGAATTTGAACTGGCAGTGTGACGTTTTTCCAGCAGAGTAGATGCATTGTATCTGTTTTAAAGTAAATACATGTAGCTCACTTTTGCAAGCAAACGGTTCCGCAGAAAAGGTCTATAAGGTCCATAAGGTCTAGGTTTTAAAGCTTGGTCACAAAAAAATTAGGTGGGGCACTTGAACACATCTTTTGCCTTGGGAGGCAGGAATTTGAACAAACCAATCTATTAGAGATCAAATGCCCAGGGGGTTGCCCAGGGAAGGGATGTTGAAGCTATAAAGTGATTGACCCATTATGATCACAAAACAATTTCCATGATTATCAAAATTGACACCCAATATTCTCCAAACTGGTTGTATTAACAGAATAACATCTTACCTGTATATGGCAATAAGTGGTGATCGTACTGAGGTTCCATCATAAATATACAATTTCATATTACCACACAGTCGTGAAAACTTAATTATATTCAGTATCACAGATCGGTTGTTTTTGGGTCTGAAAAAGTGCAAAGTTTTAAGTTTCAGTTTATTTTTTTTAACAAACATTGTCATCACAATCTGATTAAAAAATTTCATTCAACATTTCCAAGACTTTTGTCACTGACTGTCATCTAACAAATATAACTTGTGAGAAGAATGGCTTTGTTTCTTACTCATCTGTCTCAATGAGCCAAGCAGACCTGGATGGTTTTGGTGTTACAGGTATATTGACATCTGATTCTCCATGCCTAAAGAAAAATTCAAAATCAAAGTTAGAACCACTTTGAAATTTACTTAGGCTGGTTTATAAGTTGGGGACAATCCCAGATGGTTGGGGATTTCTCTGTTTTCTGGCCATCCAAGAGTTTTCTGACTAAAGACTCAACCCCTAAACATTCCAATTGTTTGCGATGACCCCTGACACGTTAGGAAAAATCAGGAACCATTTCTATTTTCCCAATGCATCCCAGATTTCCATGAAAATCAGCAGCAATCATTTACTTAAGATATAGGAAAACTTTTTTTCTATCCAGACCACAAAGATAGTTTTAGCTTGTTACCAATCATCTTATAATGCTTGGCTTCTGACTACTCCTGTGTCACAAATAATGTGGCATCTGTAATCCAAAAGACAAACATTTGACAGTCTCCTGATATGTCAGCAAAATATAGTTTTCCAGACATCTGAAATCCAGCCCTTAATACAATTGTGTAGCTACGTAATTTGATTCTTTCATTAAGCCAAAAGGCAAAATATAAGTAAGAACCATTTAAATCTAATGGTAACTTCTGTCTAGTTCCTGTAATTTGTGGTATTCTTTATTGCTATGCTCCTTAACCAAACCTTAAAACCATGTGATAAACACATGTCATACAGTTCAAAACATTTATATTTACAAAATGACAGGCAAAAAACCCCCTAGCACTATACCCTGGTATATTCCATATCCTAACAGGAAATGAACAGATGCCAGCTGAACCGTGTAAACATCTGAGCTAAAGTCTATTCCTTTTTCTCCATGATATAAAAAGTACAGTCATCACAGAAATGAAATGCTAATCGTGGTAAGTAATTTATTCTTCAATAAATTGCCCTTAAAAATAAATTTTGTTAAACAGGTCATCAGTATCCATGATCATAAATTCTCACATCTACACTTTCAAAAAATTTTTATGACGGTATTTTCTGTTACAACTCTTCTTTAGAAAACCAGCTGGTTATCAAATGGATGTATTATGGAAATCTTCTATGCTCATACATAACTATCCACTTTTCAAGTCACGTTCTTTTCTATGGCGAAGAAAGAGGCGAAAAGTTTTACTTTTTCGATAAGGATGTCCATTTTAGACCACTCTGACAATACTTCAAAACACTGTTTTGAGTAGGACCATTCAAAAATGCTCATCTTCGACACATTTATCACCCAAGTTGTTGTATATAAATATAACCAAAAGTCAACAAAAATTATTCAATTCGCAATCGAATTTCACAACCGAAGCTCTTAGATAAATTAAATAAGGAACACATACGTATCAAAAATTACTAGCACACTAACCATGTTTCTACTTACTCTTTTTTTTATAAAAAATAAAAATTAAAAATTTCGATGTTTGACGAGTTTGAGGAAACAGATAAGACAATTCGACAAACTTTACGCGAAATATCTCACCTCTCGCGACAGCTTTCGATACGATAGAAAGAACCTCCACCGTTACAGATCTCCTCAGTGTGGTCAGGATTCAGTGTACATTTGCTTAATTCACAGAGGATAGATCCTGAGAGAATATAAATTACAAAACAATACCGCAAGGCATTCATTCTTTTCCCTATCCATCAGGTCATTGTGCCGAACGAAATGTTTTGGCTTTGTCAGAGGTAAGTCCTTAAGGGCATGGACACGAAGGACCATTCACAGGTACCGTGTGCACAGCCCATTCAAAAGAGATCCATTCACCCGATAGGTCCCGACCCGATAAGGTTATCTCTCGCTCCGATCCCGCTTGTTCGAGGCTGGGGTGAATCGTAGTCCGAGCGAAACAGAAGCCGCGCCGGGGATCAAGGATTTGGAAAAAATAAAAAGACTGCTTCAGGTTTTAAAATAATTTAGTTTTATCAACCGAGTTGAATATTTTGAATTGGCCACCGTAGAGTTTTCAAAGCTTAGCAACATCTTTACGATGGCCAATTTTCTTCATCAACCAAGTTGATAGCAGCCCCGCTGAAGCAGCACCATAGTTGTTTCTCCGGAAACATATCCCCCTTTAATAAAGATTTTAATCTTTACAAATTACTTCATTATAAACGTCGCCTCGTGCTTCATTTGATAATCAGAAAAAAAAACCATGAAAATGCCATCTGCAAAGATAACACCTCGCACGAACACACAAAGAGAAAATATTTCCGATTTAGGACGCTTTCGTTCGGTTTCGGACGCTTGAGTCCGATTGGAGACAAACAAAACCCAGTAAGAGTTGATGATTTTCGATGCTCAAAAATTAAAGGTTAATGGCAGTGTGGACTTCAAAAAGCGACACAATGAGTTTGAAAATATATATTTAATTTCACACCATTAGTTAAAAAAAAAAAAAACGTCTCACACCAAAAATATATCTACACGTTCTCGAGAACACGTGGAAAATACTCGGCTATTACAGGATGAAACAGATAAACCTGTTTTAAACATGTTGCAATTGATAGGAACTGGTTATGATTCGATGAACGTTTACAGTTTATGGTAGATATTTAGAGCGTATCAATGAACTTGCACATGGCCTTCACAAGACTGTCACAAAACAGTCTTCTGCGTGACATAGTGTTAAAGATGAATTATGTGACAAAATTGTGTGACACGAAGTTTTGTGCTATGGAATATTCTCCAAGAAAATTATTCCAATTCGACCACTTTTCTAATATGCTGCAGTGGATGTTGTAGTTGCTGTATGCTTCTTGTTTTGCATTTGGCTTAATTGTTCCATACATATTTAAGTAAATCGAAGGGAAATCTACGATTTACCGATTAAAATACTTACAACCCATTCTAAATAATTATCATCTTACAAACAAGGAAAAAATAAATATCGTTTACGGTCAATGTAAAATTATTCTAGTCTGTATCCATTATAGAAATAGCGTTTCGTTTATAGAAAAATAAGTTAAGTTGTACGACTCAAGCATTATTCCAACTGCTTCTCAAAAATGTTCGAAACCGTCCAATATTGCTTGAAAAATACGTATAGTACAAGAAATATATTAACTTTTAGGAAAATAATACGACACTAATTGTGTCCGCATTCAATGAATATTTATAATTTTTCTCTCAAAAGAAAAAGCCTGAAAAAATATATCTTAAATTTATATTAAAAAATTCGATTATTTCCCAGACTCCAAAATAGAGTACGTTTGTAGAAAACTTGTGTAAAACAAACAAATTCGATGAAAAAATATATATATATAAACATACTAAAGTGGACTGCTGGATAAAACAAGGCGACGTTTTATCTTCCTAAATGGCAAAGCCTCCTCAGGATGTTAAATTAGAATTTCATAGACTCTGTGAACAAAGAAATTAAGAGTCACCAGTTACTTCGGCGGCTATGTAAACGCACAAAGCATTTCGTTGATTCAAGGCAATTTTTCGATTGTTCAACAGTGTGATCTTCTCTAAGTACATGTAAATAATGCCGATTCTATTTCTCCAGCGAAGCCTCCTGAGCAATTGTTCACTGCAGTCAATGTTCTGACCCCGTGTGCGTGATGTGCTTGTGCTTGTAATGCGGTGACTTAAGAGGTTGCTCCCACATGGCTCGCTGGCTTGGACTGGACTGCAGCACTTACAGGAATTGCAAATGTGCCACCAAAGGAGGAAGGCATACCTGTAGAATATGAAGAAACCACGATAACGCGTAAGCAGTCGATATTCGGCCATTCTAGTATAAACAGATAAACCATAGCAAAAAGCAATGTTTAAGACGTCGCTCAAGAACCTAGAGTTGCTCTCGGCTACGCCTCGAGCAACTCTTACGCATCTTTCGTGTTCTCCAAACTTCTCCAAACTGCAATGTTTAAGACGTCACTCAAGAACCTAGAGTTGCTCTCGGCTACGCCTCGAGCAACTCTTACGCATCTTTCGTGTTCTCCAAACTTCCCGCGTGCTTCATATCTCGATGAACGCACGCTGACGTATGAACCAATTGAACCAATTCTCCAATTGGAGAGCACGAAAGATGCGTAAGAGTTGCTCGAGGCGTAGCCGAGAGCAACTCTAGCTTCTTGAGTCAAGAAGCTAGAGTTAGAGAGGCTAGAGAGAATGCTAACTCTAGCTTCTTGACTCAAGAAGCTAGAGTTGCTCTCGGCTACGCCTCGCCTCTTTCGTGCTCTCCAAACTTCCCGCGTGCTTCATATCTCGATGAACGCACAGCTGACGTATGAACCAATTGTTTCGTAACATTTTCAACCCGATGGAAAAACTTTTTCTCGAGGGCTATGTTTGCCAACGTCATGAGCGTGCACAATAGGAATATGAAGCACGCTCGCGCAATTGAATTTAATTAAACAATTTTACTAGCTATGTTATAATTTTAAGTATATAATGTGGCGTGTTTTTGACCAACCAATAGGCACGTTTGTTCCTTTTTTTTGATGCGTTGTGAGAATTTCGCACTCTATCCGGAACAATAAAAGGCTTCTTCGCGCAGATTCTTGTTGTCGCTCTGTTATAAAAGAATTTGCTCATGCTTTTAGCTGTGCGTATATTGAGTTAGAGCTAGAGTTGTTCTCGGCTGCGCCTCGAGCTACTCTTACGCATTTTTCGCGCTCTCCAAACTTCCCGCTTGCATCCATAACTCGATATCCGCACGCTAAGCATGAACAAATTCTTAAATATTCGCGATGACTAACTCAGAAACGGAAATTCAGTTTAGGGTTAGATTCAAAGAACTTCCTAAAATCTTCCTTACTCCCAACGTTGGTTTTGTACCTACGTTTGAAGTAGCATTTAACAAGGGTGCACAGTTCCAGCCTTATCAAACACTGACTTATTTCCTGCTGAAATGGCTTTTATCAACACTTGACACTAACCCTAACATCAGTATGCATAATCTCCATATTGTTCTCTACACATTATCCTAGGTGCCGACGAGACGAATTTACGTAACCAGTCAACAGGTTCTTTAGTTGGTGATCATTTCCTTTATTCTCATGACCTGAATGTATCATTCAGGGATGATAAAGTTGGGAGAAATTTAATGTAGATACTAGCAATTCTCAGGTGTCGAAGGGTTAAAGTAACATTTTACCTAATAGAATAAATTCATTTCTAGTCATCTAAAGTATTTCATCTATTATTAAGAAAAATGAGCACTAATTCAAACAATTTCATTTTCCTCTCACTCACCTGGCACAATAACAGCAGAGTTTCCATGTGAGCCAGTGGGTGTACTTCCCTCAGACACATTGGGTGGTCTCATCACAGGATTAAATGCACTCTTTTGTTTGACAGCCTGAATCATGTTTGGTGGAAAGGCAAACATTCCTGCATTTCCACTGGGTGGTACACTGCTGGGTGTTGGAGGAAGTGATGGAGATTGGGGAACAACTACAACATTAAACACAATGCAAGATTGAGTAAAACAAAATGCAGCTTGGTTGACAAGCATAGATTTATATTCATTTACTTATAATTTGTCTCAATTGGTATTTCCAAGTGAAGGCACATTTTGTTCCAAGGATCATCAGCTCCTCCAAAGTTCTGCTTTGTTTTTGGCTTTAAAATGATGTAAAGAATTTAAGAAAAGATCTCCAACTATTGACCAAGACAGAATTTCTCCTCACAATATCAATACAGTATCAAGCAGACAAGCAGTGAAAATAAAGAAAAATATAAATTAGGGGATTATCAGTTGATCCAATACCAAAATCTCCAAACTAACATTTAAGAATTGTATGGCAGACAGCAAGGACAAATACTAATGAGATCAAGGGAGTGAAAGTGTTATTGAGAAGTAAGTACCCAGTCTCTAATAAACAATCTTTCCATGGGCCAAACATGGGCATAAATCAAATAATCATCAGATGGTTAAACAGATTTCTACAAGTTACCAGTAATAAACAGTGTGGTGAAAAAAGTGTAGCAATAACCAATAAAATAGAGTTATCAATAGAGTTAACTTGACGTTGTGAAACTCTCTAACTTACATGTGGCACCATTGAGGAAACTTGGTGATGAAGGAACTGCCATGTTGTGTAATGTAATCGATGGTGGAAGTCCCCCAGGGTATGCATTGATACCATTTACAGCACTTGACATGCTGATTGCTGCCGAGGGTGTTACAGGCACATCAGAATTGGAGACAACATGTGCTTCACTTGCCAGAGATCCACCATGGGGATAACCAGGTGGCAAATTGACATGCCTTGCAGTTGGAGTGCTGCTACCTAAGAGTGTAAAAAAATTTATTAACCATCTATATTGTTCAACTTGGTCTATTACGGAGAACAATTCATCTGAGGAGGAAAACAGATATGAGATTGCTGAACAAGTGAAACCAGGTAGAAATGACATATTGTGTCCTCCACATCTAACTAAACCTAATGGACACAAACACAATACATAGTATTGGATACTTCACATCTTTGAGATATGGAACGTGGAGATATGGCCTCCACACAATAGATCATTTGTAGAATTTGCAATGTTACAAGCCTCAAAGGCATACAACAAAGGCCTCAAAGTAAGAGCCTCAACGCAAAACACAAAGTACAATCTTGCTCACTTTTCCACCAACTCTCTACTCACAAAGTTCATGGATATACTTGTCCTCAATGTGATATTATTGGCTTATTATACTACATATTTTTATACCCAAACC